TTCTTCTTTTCTCGGTGAGATGTTTTCTGGAAGCGTTGCTTGGTTTCGCATTGTGATTCGTTAGTTTTCAATTTATACTCCCCACTTGTACGAAAGAATACCGCGAAGTCTCTTGAAATTCGTTTCTGGGAACTAAGTGACACTCGTGTTACACGAGAATCTGTGGCGATATCGCACGGCACGACTTCTCGTTTGATGCGATTTTAATTTGTGCCAACTCGCGCTACCAAGTGTGGATTTTAAAGAAAGCATTAGGAGAACGAGTCGTCGATAGCTATCTCGACAAAGACGCGGTCTGCCGCTTGTTGTTCTAACGGAAAAAGAAAAGAAAAAAAAAAAGAGGAACGCACATCGCGCGTGACGAAATTATACGACACATACACATACACGTTTCTCTCATGTTTCCACTTGTGTTTTTATTTTGTTAATTTCTCGTATAATATACTAACAAAACATTTAATTACAAAACATGGGCATATCTGTGTATGTGTGTGTTTGTGAGTTTGTATGTATGTGTCTGTGATGAAAGCGGCTATGTGTTCTCTATGCGGTACGCGTACTTCCACTGGTTAATGTAGATAATACGAGTAAACTTCATAAGTTCTCTACGATAAGTAGATGGATCGATAACGACAATTTACACGCAAAAAACGTGACAAATTCCCCTGCCCCCCCCTCCCTTCACCGTCTGTCATTCGTCGTCCCATCTTTGTTCCCCTGTCATTCGTTTCCGCAACTTCGTTCTTCGTTCGTTTAATTAATCGCGTTAGTCGCGAGATTCTGTGTTACGTTGTGCTTGTTTAGGAAAATTCTTTCTTTCTCTCTCTCTCTCTCACCTCTTCATTCTTTACAACCTATGTCCGTCATAAATACGCAAACGCAAGAGGGGATAAAAACGCTACTGTAATATGCGATATAATAATATATTACCGTACCTCGATATTAGTTATAAATAGCTTTTAATAATTATTTGTCGAAACACTGAATATTTTACAACAGCCATCGAATCTCAACTATGTAACTCTATTTAAACAGTTTGCAACTTTTACAGTTCATCTTTTTTTTTCAATTTCACCTTTAATATTATTATGCGTAGCGTGTCTGATCCAATATCATATCAATAATAGGGATATATCATAAATTTTGTAATTTCCTAAAAAATATTCTCTAAAAAATATGTCGACCTAAAGATTATTATGACTGATAATCACAGACAATTTTTTCAATTTTTCTTTTTCCCTTTCATTCCGTCGAGTTTGTCAATAATTATTATTTATCTTTCCTCTCTTTACGTTTCTTTTAAACAATAGTACAATATTTCAAAATTCTACACTCTGTTTAAACATTAGAATAGTAGTTTTTATACATGTCGTTAAGAAGCGTTTTACATTTCAATTTTTCTCATCTTGTAGTCTTTCCTTAAGTTGTAAGAATAGTTTAATCCTTTTAGTTTTCCTTTTCTCTCTCCTCACAAATGGTAACCCAAAACACACACGAAGAGACGAAATCGCCGGTTGTGAGAGGTTCATGATTAATAATGTTCGCGATGCAGCCGAGACCGTATTGTACACGGTAACTCGCGCATACACGCTCGCTCATTGTGCTTTCCGCTAAATAACGTAATTACTTGATTTTTTACGCGACATCGTATCGCAACACATCTGCTCTATCGTCGGTCCGAAACGAGTCCGGCTGTCGAGAGGTAAAACATGCGTAAAAGTCGAAGAAAAACGATCTCTACCTATTACATCTATACATTAGTATTCTTTTTTATTGTTAGATTATACGTTTATTCACTCTCTCTCTCCTTCTCCTTCTTCTTTCTCTTCTCGTAATTCGTTTCTTCGAATGTCCGTCTTTTTCACACGCAACGATATTTTTGAAAGGTGCTGATGAGTGTAGTAAACAAACGGTGCTCAATGTGCCCAAATATACGAGTAACTTGAGTGATGATGTATTATACTCTTTTTCTTTCTCTCTGTTCTCCTCCTTTTTCCTCTGTCTTTCTCCATTTCTTTATGTGTGTAGATAGTATAATTAATAGCGATAATTAAGAATGATAATAATGAGGGCTGGATGCGTAATACTAAGGAGGCTCGTAAGCACTCCGCGCAGTTTAAGGAGTAGTTTAAGAAGATACAGAGTATTGTTCCAGAAAGCGACCGATAGATACTCGTGAAATTCGTCTGGCGAGGGATTATCAGAAGATACATGGATATTTTATGTACTTGGCATCGTGACATCGCGTCGCTTCATTTTTTCGTCTTCTTTTTTCTCTTCCCCTTCCCCTCCGTCTCACTCTCTTTGTTTCTCTCTATCTATTCCTTTTTCTTATCTCGCTTTTTGTGCCCCGCTACAAACACACTCAAACTATTCCGTACTTTTTTCTGCCGGAGTACTCGAGGGTATGTACTTTACAAAAGTGTCAATAATACAAATAATGGGAAGAGACAACATGCTGAAAATTTGAGTCTATTCACGAGTGTACATAAAGTCACGATTGTACACGGGTGTAAATGAAATTGGATAATGATAGATAGCCTATTGCCTACGATCACAATACGTAGCGATTGTAAAAGTTGGGATACGAAGTGGTTGTGTGTACGTGTGTGTTTGCAGAGTATACACTTCGTAAAGCCCAAAGTAGTTTCAATATTCATAGAGTAATGATCTGCAGAAGCTGCAATCGAATCGAGGATACACCGTTCCTCGTATACTCGTCGGAAAAACGGAAATAACCTAATCTCTGTGTCTGTATCAACAGTGTGACCACCGTGTGTGTGCACCGGTTCTAAATTGTTCGGTTTACGTTAGTACTTTTTTTCCGTCAACCCTAATACCGTTCTCCGTAATCAATAAATATCAATAAAATATCTAACATCGTTATTATATTTTCAAGTAAATTACCACCCTTACTAGTCGTATTACTTTTCATGTACAGATTAAAATTAATTATCATTATATTAACAATATTCATTTTCCAATAATAGTTATTAATTATCGGTAATTATAATATAAAAAAAAAAAAAAGATTCAAAATATCTAAAAAAAAAAAAAAATGGCAATTTCACGTGACCAGAACAAGTTTCCATTTTCCCCCGTTTTCGTAACTTTTTACAACTCAGCATACGACGCACTTTGTACCAAACCAGGCCGATTAAAATCGCAGCACGACTGGCGTTCATTCGCGTGCTCAAATAATGCTTTTTTCACATGCCATCGCTTCACCCCTTTATATTACCTCTTTAAATAATTCGCGTTCAATATTCTTCGTATAACGCATTTCTTATTATTATCAAACACTTCCGCGCACTGCAACCTACTATCTCTTACTCTAGGCCATTTTTTCATGAAAAGTGCACTTAACGGTGTCCATGGAGCACCAAAATTTAAGGGACTACCACCTCGGCAGAGATTGATTGATTGATTGCGCTAAAATACGTAGTGGTCTCGAAGGGGCGCGTGATGCGCCATTTGCGGTTGTGTGTGTATGTGTATGTGTGTGTGTGTATGTGTTAGTTCCAAATATAAAATATCATTTGCGTACGTACATCTAAATCTATCACCGGGTAGAAGCGTAGGTACATTAAAAGTAAGGCAAAACTGGACTTCACGGAAGGATATTGGTACGGAATATATGATATATATGTATATGTATATATTCGTAAAAATGTAAAATATATTCCTATAAAAAGCATCTCTAATATTTCCCACTATGGGAAAGTATCACAAACGTTTCCCGAGAACGCCCCCGGAAACGTTTATCTCAAACAATGCGTAAACCTCGTCAGACAGGATGAACAAACTGACTTTGCGATAGAAGCTCATCCGAAATTATCGTTGTTAAAAATGTTAGCGGCTCTATTGAATACTAGTTAAAAGAAATATCGGATCTGTCTTGCAGATTTCGTCATTTAAATTCGTTCGAACGTTAAAAACTCAGACGTTGACAAAGTCAATGATCGTGATATTGGCAAGGTGAAAGTACAAATATATAGGTGCGATATATCTAAAAATATACAGAAAAAAAGGAAATATCAAACTGGCGCTGTTCACCTTTGCACGGTTGTACGGTTCGAAATCTTTCCTCTTTAGACGAAAGTGTCCAGATAATCCTCTCACATCGCGGATGCTACGTGTTTCAATTAATAAGACGAAAAAACCGTATCAATGTCTGCCAAAGTAGGTACACCTTCGAACAATATCCTGTGTTATAGGAGACTGTTCTCTCTTGCCATTCTCTATCTTTCCCTTCTCCCTCTTTCTTCTTTTCTCTCTCCTTAATGTCTACATTCCTAACTTAAGTTAAAACGAGTTTGCTGTACTTACATCAAAGACGATATATCTAGTCTAACAATTACATATTTTACAAAAACACTTGAAATCTGGCCCTACACAGCAGACGTGAAATGTCACGAAGTTAGTCATACACTGTACACTAAATTTAAAAATTTACACGAATCATTTAAATATACAATTATATCGCGCATTAAATTCATCCGCTCGACATTTGTACAATGCGCTTACATGTCATTTTTGTTCCATGGTACTCGAGAGAAACGCAATTGGTCTCTCGCAAACTACGAACGTCGAAGACTTGCGGTCTTTCTCGACGCGTCGCTTCGCACGAAACAGGTTCTATTTTTAATATGTTTTAGCACGTTCACCTATAGGGGGAAGAGTTTCTCAAATTCGGTCGAACCCTCAACAAACCTTTGTCGACGTAAGATGCATCAAAATCATACGAACCGATGAGCCCCTCGCATTTAGTGTAAAGTGTAAGATAACTTGTACACTTAAGCCTCAATAGTAGATAATAGGTAGAGTCTAAAAGTCGTGCGAGAAAGCACAGGCGTGAATAAAGTAACACTTTCAAAAGTCTCAAAGCGCGTTAGTACACGCACGACTCGCCGGGTACGAAAGCGGGACATGCTCGAATCGTTTATTGCTACAAGGTATACATCTCATATACCTTCCCCCTCTCTCCCCATTCCTCCGTTTGTTCTCTCTCTCTCTCTCTTTCTTCTCCCTCTTTACCTATTAAATCAACTACACGAACGTAGCTGTCTAAAACAACGTGGTCGCAATCGCCGTGCTTCGCGTACTATACACTCTGGCCTTCTAATATTTAAAATGTATAATCTATGCTCTTTCATAGTAATAAAAAGCTGCAATCTCTGAAAATAGTTTGATGATGAGTAAATTAATAACGTTTAATAAAACGAATCCTATTCTCGAAAGCGCGCGCGCAATTATAGCACATATTTTATCTCTGTGTCGTCGATCGGCTGCTTAGGATAAGCTGTATATATGCAGTCTCAATTGAGGTATTTGCGACATCTGCGGGAACCGCAAGTACATGGGATCTTGATGTCCTCGAACGGGAATTTGTAGTCGTACGTTAATTCCTCCCCTTGAGTGATACGGCGGAGAGCGAAAATCAATATGTGTTTCTTACCAAGAATATCCACCACTCGCGAGTAACAGTTTGGCTGTAACATAAACAACCTTTATTATAATATAAGAACTTTTATCTTATACTATAAGAACTTTGTATTGTTTAATCAACTTTAAAGCTTCTGTTTCTTCGACATCTTCATTTATAACATCAGAAGCGAGAAAATATACGTTTAAAATTCTTACAAAATACGTTGAGATAAAAAATGTTTAGAAAATAATACTTACAATTGATCTAGCAGATTTATAAAATGGTCCTTTTCTTTGGCTCTAACAATCAATAAATTAACGTAAAATTAACGTGATAGAATCATGAAAAAAGATAGGTTTAAAAGGTAAGTTATGTATGTCATGTTGATTTTACAATGATTTATTGATTGTTAGAGCGATAGAAAAGCTTTTGAGCTGTTTCAAAGATCTGCCCGATCAATTGCCATTTTTATGTATGTATCTTTTTACTTCAACGTATTTTGCAAGAATTTTGAGCGTGTATTTTCTCGCTTTCGCCGCTTTTACGGCGCGAAACCAGGAGCCTTTCAAAGTGTTTTGCAAGAATTTTGAGAGTATATTTCCTCACTTATATATGACGTCATTGATCAAGAGTTCCGCAGCGAAGAATCAAGAGTTTTAAACGAAAAGAAAAATATGTATACATATATATGATATGAAGGGGAAAGAGGAGAGAAATCATACCTCGCACGAATGATTGATAAATCTGGCTGCATTTCCTTTCATAGTTGCGTCAACGACAAGATGGTCGTCGATCTTGAACATGTAACAGCCAATGTTCTTGCTATCATAGTACTTTTCTCTCTTGTCGGTCAGAGAAGATCGAATAACCTAGAGATAGAATAATTTCAACAATAATAATAAACGTATTAGTAAAGGCCCTTGTATAATGCCAGGCATTACGGGCAATAGAAATAGGCATTAGCCAATAGGAATAGGGAATAGAAATAATTGACCAATCCGAATTCCTATTCCCTTCCTGTTCTTATTGCCAATTGCCTGACATTCTGCAAAGACCTTAATAAGTAAGGCAATATGATAATTTTTCCGCTATTTCGAACAGTTCTCGAACGATCGTTCGCCACTTACCTCGCCAGCATATTCAATGACCATCTCACCAGCCTCGATATCACGTAGGCAAAACAGACCTCGACCGTGTATGTGAGAGTGGTACACACCGACAGATTCTTTTGATGTTTCTTTAAGTATTCTAAAGCGCATCGCCATGGGCAAATTGGTGCTTGTGACTCGCCTGGAAAAGAAACGTAGTATTCACCAAAAAATATCACCGTTACATAAACATTAGTATTATTCGACACTTGTATCTAAAAAAACTGAATACTTTGGCATAAAAATTTGTTTCAAATCAACTAAACAATTTATAGTAGAAAATACTTCCAATAATTTTCAGATAACTTACAACTTGATCTAAATTTTACCTGGACTCCGCCTCGGATATAGCGATCATCTTCGGCTGTTGTCTGTGCCGTGACGCCAGCCAACTAAACATGTCGTGCACTTTCCTGTTCTTGAAAGGTTCTGCCCGCGCCGCCCCGTTGTCGGACGCTGCTGGTAATTCGTTCTCTATCTCACCGGGTTTCGGTGGCGTCGGCGTGTGGAATTTAGGTTTGTACTTGGTGCATCTGTTCACACTCGGTAATTGCTCGACCAAGTAAACAGTTGCGTTGTTCTCCAGACCGAGACCCTCCAGCAGTGGATTGTGAGGCAATGGCGGTAGATTGTGCGCTTTACGAGCGTTCTGCACCGCCTGGAATACCGTCTCCCAGACTTCAGCCATTGACGAGGCTGTATGAGTGAAACCGTCCTGCGACTTGATCTCATACATCAGTGTCGGTCCTCTCGAACAGTTCTTTTGCATCTGCGAACTCGGCTGCGGATTATTTCGCACCGATCTGATGGACTTCGCCAAGATCCTGGGCTTTTTTACAGCGACCGGTGGCGTCCTTGCCTTGAGTATGTTTACTTTCGTGTCTATGGCCGGCTTCACTTTATCCTCGATTTTGTTGGCCTTGAGCGTGAATGTTTTGATCGGTAACAATTGCAGTGACGCGATCTGCGGTACCTGCTTCGACGGCAGTATTTCTACGGAGGTTACCTGCGGCGTTTTCTTATTTTGCGTGACCGCCTTCATGTTGCGCGTGATCTTGTACGAGCCGTCTTGCAGTTGCTTCTGCAACACTATCTTCAACGACGTGTTTTGCAGCTTCTCTTTGTCGAGCTCCAGCTTGAGATTCTCTTTCACCTTCTCTATGGTCTCCGTATTCAGTTTGATGCCGTCGCTGAGATTGAGCGTGGGTTCAGGCTTCTTCATAGTCTCTTCAACGATCTCCCCGACGATCTCCTTTTTATTCGTGATCTCTGGTTCGGCTGGCTTGATCACCGGCTTCGTCGGCTCCTCGATCATTGCGATGTCATCCTTTTGTGCGGCCTTCGTCGGATCCTGCTTCGGCGTGACTGCCTGCATTGGTAGTACCCTATTCATTGGCCGACTGGTAGGCGTGCTGTTGCTCGTCGGCATCGAGATTTTGTTCTGCGCGTTGGAATTATTGACAACTACTGGATGACAGTTGATATTGTTAACATTCACGCTGACGCAGTTTGACGTTGCCGCTGTGCCGCTGCTGTAACTCTTGTTCGCGTCATGATGCGACTTGTTCACGACCAGACTCCTCTGGGCGATACAATGGTTCGGCAAAGGCGGTATCTTGGACGACGAGATGCTGGACTTGATCATACTGGTGTTCTCCGACACGTGTTTCGAGTCAAAGTATGGCCGCACACTGTTGCTCATCGGTTGCTCCGTGCCGAACAACGGCTCGGTGATCTTCCAAGAACCGTGATTTACCTGAGCGACCGAGTGCACGACTGGACTGGGTCGCACGGCCACTCGAGGGATCATCGGTGGCATCGTGTGTGGCGACAGTTTAGGTGACGTCGATACTCTTACCGACGTCGCTGTCGCAGCGCCATTATGCATGTCGGACGAGCACACGTCCGCCACTTGGATCGACATCATTGGCTTCGCTACGACGTTCTGACAAGGAGCTGCTGCTGGCGACACGATGTTGCACGCGATAGAACCGAAGGCAGTGGAGGAGATGTTTATCTGCGGAGCTGTCGGTTCCATCGGTAATGCTGGTGCTTGTGCTGGTGGAGGCGGTGGAAGTGGCTGTACCGATACCGGTGCTGGTGTCGGTACCGGTGTTGTTGTTGCTGCTACTGGTGTTGGTAATGGTGTTGCTACTGCTGTTGTCGCCATCGCTGCTGCTGCTGCTGCTGCTGCTGCTGGTGGTGGTGGTGGTGGTGGTGGTGGTGCTGGTTGATTCACCACTACGTAACCGCCAGGTACTGCTGGCACACTAGGCACACTGCTCACGCTCGCAACGTTTGTAGGTACACCGGCAATGTTGGGTACACCTGGTACGTTCTGCACACTGGGCACATTTGTCGGTACACCCGCTACGTTCTGCACAGCTTGCACCGCCGTGACCGTCGGCATACCGGATACAGCCTGCACGTCCACAATCGGCTCCATCAGCTTGGACGCCTGGAACACCTGTGTGGTAGTCTGGTAACTGCTGGCCAACACCTGCGGTACCGCGCCTGCCATGAACTGGCTGGACGACATCACGGTGTTGCTAACGATCGTTTCCAAGCCGTAGTACATCGGCTGGTTCGACACAAACATGCCGCCAGTCGGATCGGTGAACATTTCCAGAGTGGGAGTGGAGCTCAGCAGTAACTGTTCTGACGATATGACACCGCACTGAATCGCGGCGCCTGGTTGCTGCTGTATGATGGTGCCCAATACCGTCGTTGGCTGTGTCTGCGCGATCTGCACGCTAGGCAGTATCGATATACCGCCTCCGTTCTGCAGTGCCAGCAGATTGTCAGACGACGCTTGTATGTAAGTGCCAGGCACTAGGTGATTAGTGGTAATGAACTGAGGCTTGAAACTAGACTCGTGCTGACCACCGATCGTCGTGATATACTGCAAATTCTGACCTGACTGTTGTTGCAGTGTCTCTACATATGCCGATACGATTCCGGGAGACGCCACTTGCTGGAGAATCACAGTCGGTCTCTGCGTTTGCTGCGCCAACTGGATAACCGGTGCGCTACTCTGCACTGGCTGGTACCTCGCGTGGGTGGTATTAGGCGGTTGCACGACATTCTTCACGATGTGCGACTTTACGCTCTTAGCACGAGGCTTGGGCACACGTGGGCTCTTGGATTTGGAGGCAGCGCGGTTAATCTGCGACGCGTTCATCTGCGATGACGATGTCGACGATGACGACGACGACGTCAGCGAAGACGAGTCACGTGCGGTTTGCACGCCCGTGGACGAGAAGGTGGGCGACATCTCCGGCGTGGGGACGGTTTGCGTGCTGTCCGGAGAACTCATCGGCGTATTCACCATATTGTTGTGCGCGACAGTGGAATCGCTGGAAACGGATGACGGATCCGTGGTGATCTCGGTGATCTGTACCGTGCTCTCTTGCGGTAATACTGCTCGGTTTGGCAGGGTGGTAGTCCTGCGCGTGTATTGCGTCTGCACGATTACGTCGTTGGACGCTAATACTGTCTGGTGAACGGTCTCCACGTGCGTGGCGTGAGCACGGATCTGCGGAGTGATGATAGCTTGTGCAATTGGCTCGATCTGGATACTCGGGTGAGGCGATGGCACCGACGCCTCGATCGGTGAGGTCGCTTGAATATCCGTATAGTCGGTCGATAAAGTATGACCTTCGGACGGCGACAGCGTGATGAACTGTGGCGACACCGAACCGTTGCTAGGGGAGAACCTCGAGTCCGGCGACGATGCTAACTTGTTGTCCATGGTCTCCGAGTCGCTGTCGCTGGTAATTATGATGTCGCAGTTGGTCAAATGCCGGTTGTAGCTATCTTGCGTGCGATATGTGCAGCAACATCTCTTGCAGGTGACCGGCCGGTCGATGTGATGTTCGAACGGTGTCGACTCGTACTGGACACGTGTCAGCTTGTTATCGCGCATCGCCGTGTGCTGCTGCGACGAGACGCCGCACTCGTCGTCGCTCGAGATGTCATCCGCGCCGTCCAACTGTGGGATCTGCGGCAGATTCAATTTGAGGACGCTCTTCTCCTTAAACGGACTCGCTGTCTTGTGAGGAGTGCATTTCGCAGGCGCGCTCACGACTAGACTGGCGTTATTACTCTTCGATTTCGACTTGTCGCAGTTGGACATATGCGACCTGACGAAGCCGAAGATACGTTTTGGTTGTAAGAAATTGGAAAAGCGCGCGTGCAAGAAGGAATCCTTTTCGGTGACTGACTCGTTTGCGTCGGACGAATGTTCGTCGTTGATACCGTCCAATTGTGGGATCGACAACGACTCCTCGGATGTACGCAGACTAGTCGTACTACTCTTCTCCTCGGCGTTGTACTCTGGTGAACTGCACTCACTGGCGCTGCTTGCGTCCGCTGGCCCGTCCACTTGCAGTATTCGCGGTTGCTGCTGCCTCGGATGCCAGAACAGCCTTTTGTGCTCCTTCGCGTCGTCACGAGTTGGTAACATACGGCGATTGAGTGCGCTCGAGTCCTCGATACAGTATTTTAGCTCACGCACCGAATCAGAAAGTATATTGGGAGTGTTTCCGCGACCCACAGTGACCATAATGCTCTCCGGGAGCCTTAGTTCGTGGAACATGGATGTGCGTTCGTTCTGCGTGTCCAGAACGATAAGGCCGGTCTCGTTGGATTTGGTGCTGGATGGATTACGCGGTATCTTCCGCCTCTTTAAGCTGGCACCGTAACTGTTGTCCAATTTGCAGCTCCAGGTAAGACTGCAGGAGCGCTGATGGTGCCGCTGGTGACCGCCGACGATCAACGGATTGTTCGACATCACTTCGGACTTGGAGCGCTTCAGCTCTCTGCCGCCGCGTTTTTGGCCTTTCGAATTGAACAGATCGTCCATGAGATCCTGCACTGCGGTTTTCGTCTCTAGCCGTACCCAAAGATCGTTATGCGGCCCGAGTTCTAGCAAAGACGAATCCATCTTCGAGATCTTGCTCTCCGGCGGCTTGATCGCCTCCTCAACCTCCGACGGCAACATATCATCTTTGAACAGATCTGCGGTGAAGGAGCCGTCATTCTTCAAGTCCATGGCTAAAAAATCCTCGTACGACATTTTCGGAAAGATGTCCTGCATGGAGATACCGTCCAATAAGTCGTGCGGCAAATCCTCGAATATAGCTTCCTTTAGCTCTGGTGGCAGAATATCTGTGTTATTCTGCTCTGCCAGATTTTCGTCGACCTCCTTATTGCATACGATGTCAATCAGTGTGTCTAGAGTTTGTTTTACGGCTAGAAACTCCACTTTTTGCGCGTCTACTGGCGTCTCTTCTTTCTCTTGCTCTTTAGTGTGATCGATGGTGATGTTGTTCTCCATATCGCATGAAACGTCCGGCATGTGCACCTGCACATAGGTCCTGATATAATATCGCACAATCTTGTAAGGATTCACCGTGGACCAGTAGAGCCTGGAGCATTTGTAGTCACATGGTATTATTTTCTCGGTCGTGTCGGAAAACTCGGGAACGATGGTGCCCAAGCAGTCGATCATCAGAGAACCTATCATCACCTTGACTTTATTGGGCTCTGCATGCTTCTTCTTCTTACGATCCAGCTCTACGTACACCGATCGCTTCAAGCTGAATTCATTCTCGTTTTGCAATGGCTTGTGCCCATTGTGGTTTGAATGCGCGGCGCAAAATACTGTCTTATCGTCGTTGAAGTCAAGTGCGATGTTCCTCGCGCACGGAAAGTGAAAGGTATTGCTGCAGTTTTTCGCGCAGCAACCAATGCTCGCGCCCTTCTTACCACACTCGGTGCAGCGGATCAAACGACCGCGCGAGATGGCACTGTGAACGTTCTGCAATGATCCGTCAATCTCCTCGAATACCTCATTGGACCACAATGCACAATTCGCGTGCACCCACTCGTTCTGTCCGCAATACAGCAGTCTGCCTTCCTTCGTCTCTTGGCCGTCGCCCAAGCCCTTGCACAAGCAACATGACCTGCTGTCCTCGACGTGGAGATTGTACAAATTCGCTGTTTTCGCAGCAATCGCTTTCGGCGCCTTCATCAGTTCCTCTTTCCACGCCTCCAGAATGGGGTCGTCGAATTTGGTCGTTAGGGCGGTATCTTTGCACGAGTTCTTGACAGACGGTGACACATCGCACTCGTCGTTGCCGCTCTTGAAGTCTTTTGGAGTGAACCAGGGAAAGACTTCTTGCAAGATATCGTGGTAAGTCTCCGTGAGACCCTTGGTGCCGCTGCGATTGATAACGTGCTCCATATCACAGTGAAACTGCGACAATGACTTGTATTCGTTGCCGTTAACTTTGCGTTTCACGGACATCAACGTGGGCGAAGGTCTCACGATGATCTGCTGTTCAGAACAATGGCATTCCGTGACATCGCTGCTCGGGGCAGTCGAGGATTCCTGGCTCGTCCAGTCTTTCCTCTCGTTGTCTTGCGAGTCCTTTGGAATACAGTTCTTTACTCGGACTGAACATTCTCTCAGATGAAATTTTTGCCGTAGCCGTCGCAGACCTTTCCTGGCGGGACCGTCCGTCGATTGTTCTTCCGAGTCGGGTTTATTTGTACCGTCCTTACAGGTAGCCGAGCTCGCGTCGGTGTCCGCGAACTTGTCGCTGTTGGACTCTTCTGAATCCTCGTTCTCCCTTGTGCAGCCTGTCTCGCTCCTGTCCTCGGGAAATTCGAGTTTTCTCACACTCGAGAGCGGTCTGCAGAGACATTCTTTTCGGGGACTCCACTTCAGGGCTGCGCACACCTTGCGGTTTTTGCTCAAGGCTTTGATGACACTGATAAAACCCGCCTTTAGTTCCGCCTCTATGGCATTCCTCCAGACGGAGGAATTTGAGTTGGAAGAGCATTGGCTGCATGTGAATTCAATCGAGTCGGGCAAGTAGCTGAGTATCTGGTAACGTTCATCGGAAAGACCTTCACAACGGGCGTGCACCCAACAGGAACACTCACCACATTCCATCATCTGAAAGAATACACGCAATATTGTAATACACGAATACGCGAGATAATTTCCAGATATCGAGATAAAGAACGACGAAGATGTCTACGTTGGAGAATGCAAAGCACGCGTGTACTCACCTTCGTATCGAAATCGTTTTCGTTGTAACACCTCTGACATAAAGGACAATAATTTCCTTGTTGTCTTAATTTAAAGCACATGGAGCATAGAGGTAAATTGCCCACGTGGACGTTGACGCCTTCGCTACCGCAGCTCTTACATTTAATGCAGCTCTGGCAAACATACGGTCGATCGGGACTGTACAGTCTCGAACTGACACCAGACTTTGACAAACACGAATGGTGAAAGGACTGACGACAACGAATGCAGGACAGTTTCGGGCCGGATCTAAGATGGCAGGATTGACATATCGTACACCGGGGACAACACCAGTTTGGCTGGGCGCAAGCATTCCATTCACTGGGTTCCAAACAGAAGGCGTGGTATGGCTCGCAACAGCACTGACAGTGGATCAACTGCAAAGAACGATCGTTATGTTGATAGCTCTCGATGGTACGCAACGGTGCTATGTATTATTATGTATTGCTCACGCATATCCTATGACCGATGTATCGGCTGTATTTACTTACCGGCTCTTTACCGGCACTTCCACACAGATAGCAAATGGCAGGTATGTGAAATAGCTCAGAACCAATAAGAGCAAAACCCTTCGCTCCGACTTCTGAAGGATCATATTGTTCCCAGAAATCTATGGAGACTGTGTACAGGGTGTCCGTAACTGCTTTGGACATCTGTGAAAAGATATATCAGTTACATTAGGTGCATTCTTAATGCCTGCATTGTCTGAATTGCTCTGCAATCTTCCTATTTTTTCTCTTCTCCACAAAGTTTCAAGTATATATCGTTTGAAACATAGGCAGTTTAACTTATTATGGCTATAAAGGACAGATTATTGTGTGCATCAAGGTTGTGTCGTATATCTCAAGATTATGTTGTTTATATGGTTATTTATATATCGTCTACGTGATGATACATACGATTTTTTTCATGTAAACAATGTAGGCTATGTAAGAATATTGCATATTATATTTAAGTATAAGAGAATTAAGTTATAAGACAATTATATCACATATCTATTTTAGATATTGATTATAAATATAATATTTAAAATTTAAAAGATATAAATTATGTGAAATTCTCATCTTATTATATGACATATATATATTGGTAGATTCGACTCTGAAGGTATGTAATCAGAGAATTCTGTGGAAACTCCAATTTGTTTAGGAAACAACGTTCATAATAAGTTTCAGAATTCTAAAGGGACAATATAAACTTTTCTTAAATAAGTTTTGAGCAAGCTGTACGTTTTTTATAAATGACACACATCTATTTCACACATAGATCTATTAAATGTAATTGTATCAAATCTATAGATAACATTATTTATATAGATGACATGTCATATATGTAGTTTATATTGTCTAGACGTAAACAATATGTCATAATTTACGTGAAACGCTCAACTTTATACACGATTAAATATACGGTTATGACATGCAACTTTTGTGCCACAGATTGTTTTTGAAAGTCTTACCACTGGAAAGTGCGACGTTGATACACTCTGTTGCGGCTTTCCTCTTCTCGGATGAGATGGTTGCGTTACGTTAACGTTAAGACTTAAACTACTATCCTCTACATGCTTCTGCGCTTCTTTTTCTTTCGCGACATCGTCTTTCTTCTCTGCTTTCTCGGTTTCCTTCGCCGTCTTTGGAATGTTCTTGCCGTGTTCGTTGTCTTCTTTTGCATCTGCGGCGGGAAAAGTCGCAATGGGTTGGCCAAGAGCAACACTAGCACTTCGACAAACATGCTTGACTCTCGGCCCCTTCAATTCGAGCCTCTGCCGAAGAGGCTGTGGACACTGGTTCCCGGTCGACAAGGTGAGCGCGGGACTTTTAATTTTCTTTCTCACTTTAATCCTATTGTTTTTTCTCCTTTTCTTGTTGGGCGATATGCTCATTGAGGAGTCGACTGCAACAGAAAACATCGTGTTATACGAATTCAAATAAAAATGCTACCTACGAGAAGAAATATATGTGAGTCAATATTGTCTTACACTTGTCTATCTTTGTATACAGAAAGCCTCCGGTACCCTGATAACTCATCTTTTGTCCCATCCCGAAGTTTTTCCAACTCGTAGCGGATTTAAACAAATTCCTTTCAGAGCTATCTTCCGCAGGCCAGCTGAGCTTAGACGAACCTAACTTCTGACCCTGACAGTCTTCGTCTTGACCGAGTGGCATGGAAATACTCAAAGGATCTCTCATTATCGGCGGTAACAATGTGTTTAAGCCTGTCTTCAGGGCGGATGGAATGTTGTAACATTTCAAACACATCTTCAGCCAACAAGCCGGACATCTAGCCTTATAAACGCATCTCATGAGGTTCCATTGCTGACTCCTCACAACAGGCGGAACCAAGCACAGACCGTCGCCCTTATGACACTGGAGAATAGGAAGAACGTTGTTTGAGGATTTGGCGCAAGTTTGACGTTTGATCATCTTGCTAATAAACTTTCGGCAAGACTCGCAACTGTGAATGCCGAACTTGCGCGCCTGTTTAACGAATCGATAAAATCGCACGGCACCACAAACACCACATTTTATAGTTCCTGTTAATCCTGAAATTTTTAAATATTTAACAAGAGATTAGTAATATTATCGAATCACAAATTAATAAAATGAATAAAATGAAGAATGAGTGTATCACCTAAATTGGTACCTCCTCCTCCTCCCATGGTATTGCTAGTGCTCGTCGTTGAGAATGGTCCTTCCGTTCCAGTTAAGCACTTATTATCCAACTTTAATCTCGCTTTTCTTAGAATAACTTTACCACCGTTCAGTTTCATACCACTAAACTCGGATTGCTCATCTTCTGTGTGATTGCTATGCTCACTCTCGCTCTCAGATAGATTGCTCTCTGTCTCGAAATTGTCCAATGTATGCACCACAGTCTTGTCAGCGCTCTCAGGCTGATCGTCGTTTTTCGCACAGCCACCTTCCGTCAATCCTGCACCACTTTCGGAGCTCGCTTGATTACTCACATCGGTCGCCACCTCGCATTGAGTTCCTGATCTGGTCTGAACCCTGGAAGACTCGAAGTTTGGAACATTGGAATCAGGAAGAACTTTTGTAGGAATAGAAATCTGCTTCTGATTTCTGGGAACTGTTGATTTTACGTTTTGTGCCGCTTTGCTCGGATTCTGTGAGCACTCCTGATTGCTATTGGAATTGTCAGATGTGTCGTTTGATACTTTATTCTTACACGATACGGTATGAGATTTCTTTATTTCTCTATGAGTGACTTTTGATATTAGTGCGTTTTGTACAGAACTTGCGATTTTTTCTGTGCCCTTCGTTTGCTGAGTCGCAACTTGGTCGTCAACGTCTGCACTCTGTATTGCTTTTTTCGGCTTGCCCCGCGTCTCTTTGTCTTTCACTTTTGTACACTTGCCAGCCTCGTCTCCCTTTAATTTTGATTCCTGGCTGCAGAGTTTGTCCGAATTGAATTTGGCCTTCTTCACGTGTACGCCGATCTCGTTCTCACTGTGCTCTGTACCATTAACTTCTTCCAATTCCTCAATGAATCTCTTATTTGGCTTTATAACCCTCGATGAGTGCACACTGCGAACGGGCAAAACAAATTTCCTCACTGTGCTGGCCTTCTCCCCAGGTTGCACCACTAGGTTACGCGTGTTACTCCCATTAGATTTTGCCCTTTGTAACAAACGCTTTGCAGTGCTGTTACGCAACTGCCTGGTTCGTTGATGCTGATCCAAGATGTTGTTCACTGACTTTAGCACTGGACTCTTCAGGTAATTGGAAAATTTGATATTCTTGCAACTCCTACGATTCTTAGCCTTGTGAATTTTTGGAGGTTGCTTGGTAATCAACAAGGCTGCAGCTGCACTCGTGCTGTCCTCCACCTGTTCTGAACTCCCATTGTTGAGCTTCTCTGTGCTTTTGTCGGTGTCAGAGGGAGAATTCTTAGCATCAATGTTATCCTTCTTTGTGCTCGACTGTGGTGCAGGATCTTCGACTGTATCTGAGGGCAATTTGCTGCTGCTCTCCTCTGCATTGTGTTGTTGTGTTTTTATATAAGACGCAGAAAGATTAGCTTCCTTAGTGCTGAACCCATGGAACGGTGGATGTTCCTGGGGAAGAAACATCCATATTAGTTGACAGAAATGGCTCAATAATTAATATATATCACTTGTGTTCATATATATATATATATATTACAAGTGTCACACAGGTTATATTGTGATAAGCTAATAAAATATATATCATATATAGCAAATATACAAACTACTAAAATAAAACTTGCAAAGGTAAACAAACAAGTGATTCTAAGTTATACTGAATATTTTTGTGTGACAACTTCCTATAAGCTTCCTATAAGTTCTTGCTCTTGAAAATTGCCAGTTCTGTATTCTCTCACAAGTGAGCTGCGGAGCAAGAATTTACAGATATGCCTTACTGACAGTATCCAGTAATAAAGAGTGAAAAATGTCAATGGCTCCAAACAAATAGACACAGATTACACCACTGCTGAACAGCAATATACGAAAATAAAGGTAGTTTTCATTCGAGAGGCAGAGCATCCTTGGCAGGCGAATGAGTGCGCGAATACACCTGCCATTCCGCGGCCGCCAATGTCCCGCCGTTAGGTTAACCCACACGATACACGGCTTCGAAGCTGTTGAGCTCGCGCATCGTGGCTCCGGGTCGCCGTATGTATCCGCACGGCGGGACAACACGCGGGAGCGGATGGTTGCGGCGAGACGCGTTGCATCGCGTCGCATGACGACGCGACGCCGTCGATGGTCGCGAGGCCTCTTCGACAACGGCGACAGCGACGGCGACGTTGACGGCAAGAGCAACGGCGATTTTATCACAATGGTAACAACGGCGCACGACAATGACGACGTGCGGCCGCGCCGACACGGCATTTTTTCCCCTCACCTTCTCGTTGTCACCGAATGTTTCGTTGAACAGGGAAAGTCCGTAGTAGATGTTCTCGGCAACGGTTACCGGATCGTTCTGCACTACCTCGGGTTGGCCGAGCACCTTGATCCGTTTCCTGGTGGCCGTTTTCGGCGGCTTGCCGGGAAACTTGGACCTTCCCATGTTCACTGTGCTCAACGGCCGACCTCAACCTCGCAGCGAAATTCCGCTTCCATTTTACTCGCGATTTGTGCCCACGGCCGAGAGGCGCACCGACTCTCTCGCGTATACTATACACCAACGTACGCTCTCCAACGCACACGGACGCGCGCGCGCGCACACACAATCGCGTAGTGTGGCCGCTCTCGGGCTGCTGCCTGCTCGGCCGTCGTCGGCTGTGCTCGGCCACGCTCGGCCGCGGCCGCGAAATACGCGCGTACTTCTCAAACAGAGAGAGCCTGGTTTACCAAGGCGGGCTACGCCGTGGCACGCTCGTGCACGTTGCGCATGGGACGCGGCCTTCGCTGACGCGACGCCTTTTCGTCCGCTGAAAAATCGGACACAGCCGGCCCGAAGCGCCAGGGTTGGGCGTTTACGCGTCAATTATGGTATTCCATGGCTATATGTAGATAACATAAAGTATGTGTAAGAAGTTATCTATGACAATAAGTAACCTATGAATGCTATTTAAAAGAGAATACAATATGTTAAAAAGATGGCGTAAAATTTGAAATAATTATATTTAAAAATCTTTACATATAAATTTTTTTCACTTTTCTCGTCAGTGCATTTTCGTGTAAATTTATATCATTCAAAATTTCATAATAGACTTATCAGACTCGATTTTGCGAATCTGTTCTTAAATAAAATTAAATATTTAAAATTTTTTAAATAAATAGTTAAAATATATATTAAAAAGCAAATAAATTTTTATGTACAATATATCCCACGTAGCACTAAAAAAAGTTAATGTTATTACTAAAATATTGCTATAATATCTCAGCAAATTGCATTTTTTTGCGTTAAAATACAGTGTGTAGTAATCACACGCGCACGCAGAGAGCAGCACGTTAATACTACTAATACTAATACTAATACTAAAATGTTAGCTTAAAATGGTAAGGTAGTTATATTTTGATAGACATTAAAATGATATTAATTTAATTAAAGGTAACTTCGAATTAAGAGAGAAAACTTTGTATTAATATTTGGATTTAAGGTTTATTAAAAGTCTCGAAAAGTAACATGTCATGTGATAACACTACTACTATCTTTAGCAACATAATTAAAAGATTCTTAAGTTTAATGTTGATATAATATTTTTGTATTATGTCGGATATGAAGTGTATCACATATTGAAATATTTTGAAAATAAATTTAAAAATTGTGGATCGTTTTGTTTTGAAAATATAGCGATGTATGTTCATAATTTATAATAATATTTGAAATATATATACATATACACACATTTAAACACTTATATATCCTTTTTTTTTTACTTTTACATTTGTATTAATTTAACTGGTATATAAATAATATATTGATAAAAAAAGTTTTAAAACAATACTTTTTATATTTGTGATATTGTGTGTACACATATTTATCTCAACTTTGTTTTAAACTAACATTTGTTATTTAGATAGTCAAAGAAATTTATAGAAAATATAATTTTATTCGATAAATAATAAATTAATGAGGGATTTCCTTGATTATACGTTATTAAAAATACGGCATTAAGAGATACGATCACCTTAAAAAGATACGGCTTGCTAAAAAATTAATTAAGAAAAAATTATATTTTTATTTAATCCTTTTAGAATTCTGATGCAAAATGAATGATGTTTCCCAAACAATTTAGATTGCAGGATGATGTCAAATAACGTATTAATGACGTCTTAATGATGTCTATAATATTAATAATATGTCATTGATACATTATTTACGTCGTTAAACGTTACAAACGTCGTTAAAAGTTATCCTGCTATCTGGGAAATTAGAAACTATAGAATTTTCTGGTCATTTACACTTCAAATATTAAATTTACTGGTCTGTCACATAATAAAATGAAGATTATATACAACTTATTTTTTTAAACATTTCATTTATAATTAATACCCAAAATAGATATGGTAATAGTCTCATAATTTAATTGCTCTTTTGTATATTTTAGTATATTTTACAATATTTTACACAGTTTACATTGTCTTCATGAAAAAGGTCGTGTATACATATTTAGATGACACGTAAACAATCTGCGTAGATGTGATCTTGAAATCATCGATACAACCCTGACTAACGCTTTATACGATCGTACGAGGATCGCTCGTAGTTGAGACTCGGCGAGACTGGAATTCGACACAGGAGACGCGCCAAAATGTCCTTCATGTCTGCCCTGTGATAATGTAAATGTGGTATGAAGGACATTTTTTCCGTACAACATTAGAGCGACATCGACATCTGCTGTTAAGAGTAACGGGTCGACGGTGACGTTCGCAGCTGCATCGTCGAGATCTCGAGATCGTGATCGAATATTGTAGGAAAAAGTTAACACTTATCGGCTATTTTGGTGCACTGGACGATCGGATATTTTCTTTTTATTTCGCGTTGGGCTGGACAAGGCTCGATAATGGCCGATAAAGATCTCGCGTGCGGATATCGGTGAGTAGAAAAAAACAGTAAGGGCTGTACACAAGTAACAGCCCGATTCGAACGGCGGGTGTCACGTGACTCGTGGCACGGAGCGCCGCGTTCAGTTTGAACGCGACATAACGCGTTTAACGTTCCGCGCACATGTTAACGCTTATTTTACAGAGCGAATGTTTTATTCATGAATGATTATCCGCGTATGGCTGTCGGGCCGGCTATCGATTTTGATTTCCCGCCCTTATCTGATCGGTCGGCAGCGATGGTAAGGACACGACGGCAGAAAATAGAAAAATTAAGCGATCTCTGGGATGCAATGATTTGCGTGGGGCGAGCTGCAGACTAAAATTAGCCCCGTTGAGAAGTCCCCCCCCTCTCTCTCTCTCTGTAATTATTACAAAAATATGAAAATATATCCGCTCGTTCTTTCTGCGCTTTTCTTCTCCTTTTTTCTTTTTGCGTGTATGATCGCGAGAATAAGTTTTTCATATACGCGAGACGTGTTTCACGCGACGTTCGGGGACCACTTAAACCAATTACGTACTTTATACGTACTTTATGAAGTTACCCCCGTACACACATCGTTAACTTGTGCATACTTTGTTAAGAGTCCATTGTTCGTAACGCCGCGGCAATAATCCGCCGTAAGAGGTGCGCGCGGGAACACGAGGAAGAATAGAAACATCGTATCGCCCTTGCTGTTGCTATGTATACCCATTTATTTACGTAGTGGAGTACACGATATAGCGTATCTATTTACCTATCTATATTTCATCGCGTCTTACTTCAGCTTCGTCGGAATTAAGCTGGTATCCTCTTACGCAAGCCCCCTTCCCTCCGGAGGCCTTTACGGAAGATTTACTTGTAATTCGTTTACTCCTTAGCGCGCTCCCAGCTCGCCGTGTGTTCATTATTTCTGCCGAAGCTATCGGCTGAGCGGGGCAAACGCACGAACGCACGAGAATAAAGATCATTTCAGCTTTAATTGCTTCCGGTGTTCTATCGAACGTACGTTTACTCAAACAGTAATTAAGATCGCCGTGACGTCGCTGCTGCTGCCGTGGGAGAAAGGTAAGGCACTGGAAGAGGCCCGCGCGCGCTGTCGATTATGTGTGATCGATTTCTTGTAGCCCCGTGTATATTTCCGTGTGCACGCGTATAGGACTTCTTCTCGGCTGCACGCTCGGAACGGAACCGAATGTGCTGCATACGGCGACGTGCAATATTTAAAGCGGCGTCGATGTTAACGGACCGGCGAGCGGCGACGCGGGAACGAAATTAAAACTCGCGGCGCGTGAAATATTCCTCGCGACAATTTATTCAAGGCGAGTAATGTTGGAACGAGAAATACATTCGCGCTCCCGAGTAAATTTCTTATTACTTCCAAGTAAACCGCGCACGTAGAACTCGCGAACGGACAAGCAAACGAACGCGGCTTTCGTGTCAGATTATTACGATGAAATTTATATAAAGGCCGATTACACTAGTCTACAAAAAAAAAGCTTCCTTTCGCATGCATTAAATTGTATAACTTATATAGTATTTTTATGCCCAATTGAAAATTGCCGAAATAGAAGACTTTTTGTTATTCAGGGTGATTTAAATGTGAACAGTGATGTGACCTTTAAGTCTTAAGTTGAAAATTGATTTTCTTTATATACACAGATCGATCGTTTGGTTAATTTAAGACTTATTTCTAGCGCTATTCTCTCTCTCTCTCTCTCTTTAAATCTATATTTTAATTAATATTTAAAAATTGATTAACATTGGAATACTTGATGGAGGTATTTTGATTCTTTTGAGGTTTTCTTGTTGTTACTATTTCTGTTTTTTATAACTCAAGAAAAATATCGTGACTTTCAGTTATTTTTACAATAAAACACGCTGAAAGAATAACAGGATATATCATTGATATTATAATAAATAGAAGTAAATAGAAGTAGAAGTAAATAGAAGTATAGAGTATATTAGTATAGAGGTTTAGAAAAATTTTGAAAATATATGGTTGTGATTTCCTAATAATATATAAAATATTTATATTTGCAAATTATATTTTTAGTATGTTCGTAAGTCATTGATATAAAATAATGAAGAAAACAAAAATAATTTTAATATATTATAATTTCTCTCACAAAGATTCATATTTTCGGGCATCCTAAGGGGCGTTGTTTTTTTTCTGGACATTTTAGTGTTAACATAACTAAAATATATTTTTGCAACAATATTAGTGAGATAAAATTCGTGAATGTCATAATTTTTTTTGTTTTAAAAGTTATTAAATGTTTTAAAAGTGATAAAATAAAAGTTGTAAGATACACATATTTGATATTAATATCAATTGTAAGAAGAGAAATATGAACATGAAATATAGTCGTTATAATTTATTTAACAATTTCATTTAATTTAATTTTTTTGAGAAGTGTATATAGATATATTATATTAAAATAAATAATAAATATAAAAATAAAAGTAAAAACGCGCAGACGCGTTGCGTACGTGCGTCCGTGCGTGTGCATATGCGCGTTTTTGTGTGTGTGTGTGTGTGTGTGACGTTATGAAGTTATGCTAATTTATCATATATGTTATGTTGTATTGTTTTTACTCGCATTCAAAGAAATACAATCACATTCAGAGATGACAACTATTGTTGCAACTAAAGCTATCTTTAGGTCAATAAAGCTGTTGCAATAACTATGGAATAATTTTTATTAAACTATATACAAATACAATTCTACATATGAAACTTATCGTCATCTATGTGGTTGCCGTTACTATGTTTTTCTCTAAGTGCATATATTGTCGATTTTACGAATATTCTCATGGAAATATGTAAACTTCTTTTTAATTTATTGTATTATTAGATTAGAATATTTTATTAAAGATTTTACATATGTTTTCAAGATATAAATTTACAATCAAATATTTTGGAAACAATACAGTAAAGATCATTGAAATTTCTATTACGTATTGTTAGTTTGACCAATTTTTGTATAACGTACAGTACTCTCCGTAAGTTTAAAAACGTAGATAAAAATAAGGATATTAAAATGGATATTTTATAATAATTCTTTTTTGCACTTACCTTTAGAAGATCGGTACTTATGTCATTTAACAGAGCGAAGTTTCAAGTTTAGGAATCCATTTTCTGTGTTGCTATGCGATGAAATTTAATGGACTTATGAGCAACCAAAGTCAAAATGCTTAATTTTATTTTAACCCCTAGTAATACGGGAATACAAACTCTCTTTCTCTCTCACTCTCTCTTGTAGAGAAATTTTTTCAAGTAAATTATATAGAAAACTTCAATCTTTTACACGAAAAAAACAAAAAATTTTCTCAGATTTTTTCTTGCGTTCGTGACATATCTCAAATTGAGAAATAACTTTTCCATTTTGTTCATTTCGTTTTCATAAAGGTGACTGAAGATTGGAACTGGATCAATTAGAACAACGTAAACCAAGCTTGAAGCTCGTTGATTCGTCAAAATTTAATCTTCAATCGTTAATTGCCAATCATTAGTGTAATGTAGTCTATATGAAAACGAAATGGACAAAATTGAAAAGTTACTTTTCAATTTGAGACATGCCACGAACGCAAGAAAAAATCTGAGAAAATTTTAATTTCTTCAGTGTAAAAGATTGAAGTTTTCTATATAATTAATATTTTGAAAAAAATTCTCTACAATTCTATGTTTCCGTATTACTAAGGCTTAAAGTAAAATTGAGCATTTTGAATCCGGTTGCTCATGACTCCATTAAACTTTATTGCACAGCAATACAAAAAGTGGATTCTTAAACTTAAAACTTCGCTCTATCAAATGACATAAATGCTGATTTTATAAAGGTAAGTACGAAACAGAATTATAATAAAATATCCATTTTAATATCTTTATTTTTGCCTGTGTTTCCAAACTTATGGACAGTACTGTATATATTTTAAGTTTATCTTTTGTCTGGTCGAAGGCTTCCTTAAACACTACTAGAAGTTAGTAATTTTTGTATCTGAGTTATGATATCTCAGATATCTCAGATCTTCAAGGGATATCCTAGGAATTTACGCGGACATTTAAAAGTCCTCAGGGGAGGGGGAATATCTTTTGGACATCTTTGAAAGATTGTGCTGTTTGGGATGTCTATTTTAAAAAATAAAAAATGTATCATCAATTTTTATGATATCCTATGTCTAGCTATAAAAAAACTTGCGCAAAGGAGGAAAAAAATTATTAATTTATTGAATTTCTATAGACGAATATATTGCTTAAATGAAGGAACTTTTCTTGGAGAATAATTATTTTAAGAATATTAATAGTACGCCAATATAAGAAAATTGAGAATTACGAATCATATGGAATGTTCCATACGCAATGAGAAAAAATAGTTAATCTTATCACAAATTATTATTATTTCTGACGAATAATTATGTTTCCTTATGGTCTTATTGTCATGTTGTTTTCATATCTAACAGAAAATAATAGTAACAATATACATGTAACGTTATTTGACACTATAATAACACTTATTACAAAAATGATTCTCTTAATTATAATTCTTTCACTGTATCATTATAGTGACAAATTTCAGGCACTTTATTCTTAATGTGCAATACATTGGACTTCAGATGATCGTCACAAAAAACTGTGGTTAATGGAGAACTTCTGAGTTCATTTTCGGGTTCTACGCATGAAGATACACAAGAAACACATCAGAAATTCCGTGTAACAAATTACCTGTTGACAAGCGTGTGTGTGTGTATTATCGCCTGATAATTCTTCAAAATGAAATTTAATCTGCGTGTATTGCGTCGCAAAGGCACTACACCACATATCAACGCTATATACGTCTCTTGAAATAACTGACGATAGAACCGCATGCATATTGCCTCTATCGCGAATCACAATTTGTTCGAATTTCGGCCCCGCTCCAGGCGACAGGGAAACGAAACATTTATTGGCTCGCCCATATCCGCGTTATTAAATTTGAATTTCTTTTCAAATAGGAAACAATGCGCTCCTCGTT